AATCGTAAAACCGATCGAGGATATAGTAGTGGGACCGCTAAGGGAGTTATACGAAGCCAGGATCAGGGCAAGCTACCGAGGGATTGAAAAACAGCTTCAGTTGTTGCCATTCACAATCCCAGATTAAAAATTACGGGCCGGTGAGTCTAACGAGCATATTGTGCAAGTGCCTGGAAAGTTTAGTGAGGACGCACATTGAACAGCATTTACTCCGAAACTCGCTGCTTACTGATCAACAGCACGGGTTTATCAAGGACAGATCATACTTATCTAACTTACTGTTTTTTTGATGAAGTAACCTCGAGGTTCGATGGGGGCAAAGCTGTGGAAGTCTGTTATTTAGACTTTTGCGAAGCTTTCATTTCCGTCAACCACAGGTTGCTGTTAGCCAAGCGCAAACACAAGGGGTTAGGCGGGAAGACATAACTGGATCAGAGAATTCTGGACTGGTTGCACGTTTTACGTGAGGATTGAAGACAAAGTATCAGCCAAAGCTATACTCACTAGTGGAGTATTACAGGGTTCAGTGCTTGGTCTCTCACTGTTTCTTACTTTCATAGACGACTTGGCTGCCATCCCACATTCGCCATGATTCATCTTTGCAGATGATGTCAAGATACTGAGATCAGCCAGTCGGCAGCAATTGCAGGATGACCTGCGCAGAGCAACGGGATGGGCAACAGTAAGGGACCTCCCACGGAACGCAGAGAGAAGTAATTTACTTTCCCATGCTGATGAACCATTGTCAATCCAAGTGGGTGAAAGGGATTTCACCGCAGGGATTGTAAGAACCAGCAGAGACTTAGGAATATTGGTTTAGGCGTTTAGGCTTGCCCTGGGTGAGCGTTGGCTGAAGCTCCTTTCATATTAGGATCTTTAATGTACTATAGGACGTTTTCATGACCCATCTCTCCTGTTCGCCGATGAGACGAAAGGAGACGAGCTTTTTCTTTTCCTGTTCAGCAAGGACGCCGTACTGAAAGCAATTCGCGGTGGTTGGTTCACACTTTGTGAGCATACTACCGGAAGAAATCTGGACGCTCGATTGGCCGTGACCACTCCTGTGCAACCTGACCTGGCCTGACCTGACCTAAACTGAATTGACGTGAGTGCCGCGCGGTTTTATATTTCGAAATGCTCTGTGTTAGGGCTAAAATTATCGTTGTTGCAGTGAAATAACGTTAGTTATTTCACACGTCTTACGCAGTTTTAGTATACCGGTATTGTTTTACGTTATAACGAGTTTATATTCTCCGGAATGACTAATTTTGCAATGTTTTTCTCCTGTTACCTTTGTTGTGTATTTTACCCGGTATATTAATTCTTTGGAGATTAAGCATTTTTACTTGTAATCATTTTCGGTTGAGGTATGCCACGAGTATCGTCTCCGCGTCTCGAGAAAGAGTGCGGAAAGGGTACAGTGAAGGAAATTGCGTGCAGTGTGTGCAAGAGGTGGACCCGTCCAAGGTGCTCGGGTATCAGTGCAGATGTGCACACACTGTACTGTCAGAGTAAGTGGGTCGAATGGGCATGTACGTACTGCAAGGAAGTAGCACTTCTCGCGTTTGAACATGAGTCACGGAAGGTAGAAACACCACACACGGAGAGCATTCCCGTAAGTTCGGGAACAAAATCGCTGCCCGCGACTGGTGCGCGTCGGTCATATGCAGAGATTGCCTGCACTCCAGCGCAAAGAATGTTATCGGGACGTGTAAACAGTTTCTCAGTAGTATTTTCTCTTACCCCGGTACGACAGGTCTTCAGCGGAGTAGGGATGAAGAAAGTTGGGAAAGGGCAGGAATCGGTTAAAAACTCCAAAGCTAGGATGCAGGAAAATGCTTCGGGAACTAGCCATCCGAATCTAAAAGCCCTCGAAAGACACGTTATGGCTCTGCAAGGGCAGATTTATGCAATGAGCAAGTCATCCGGGCATAGGCTTTTCATGCTAAACCGGGAGGAGCCATACATAGAGGAGGCCAAGACCAGGCGATAGATGGTCCGTAGGATGATCCTAGTCATACTGCGTCTAGGATCTTGGGGGTATCAAAAGGATCCATAGGGTAGGGATGTATAAAACCCCAAATTCCAATAGAAATGGCCCTCCAATCCGATCAATTTTAGTAGAGTTTGTTTTGGAAACAACTCGGGACCTATTATTATCCCGATCTGTATTAATGGCCCAAAGGACAAGAGGCCAATATCAGATTGTACCAGACGGACCCAGTGGGAGTCACAACGAACTCCCAAGTCCTCAAGAATTAGGTATCAATCCTCACAAATCCAACGACAAGGTCCAAACTCGGATGATATCTCCTGGCAACTGCGTAGCAGGCATATCGAGGGTGTCACTGGGAGTCGTGGTCATCGAAGATGTCCTAGAGGATGAGCAATGGCAACGTTACCTGAAAGAAGACAAAGAGGACGTTGAAACTACAGCAAGGTTCAGCGAAAACCCGCCAGCTAAGAATGCTCATCAGAAAGACCCGCAGGCTACAAGTACTGTGGAAAAAACTTGCTGTCTCCTCGGGTGCTGCGCCCGAGACCCAAGCAAGGAGGATCTAAGGAAAACGCATAGGAACGGAGGACAGCATGTTCATGCTGTACACCAATGCATGCAGCGTTAAGAATAAATGGTCAGAACTGGCTCAGGTGGCCCGGGCACACAAAGTGACTGTAGCGGCAATCGTCGAAATATGGTTGAATAATGTGGACCATATTCCGCAGTTGGTTCAAGAGTCGTTCTCCGTCTACCGACAGGACCGTGACCAATAATATGCGGGAGGAGTGGTAATTGTCGTTAAATGGGGCACAGACCACATAAAATTAGAGACCACTCTCTGCACGAAAAATGTCCAGGTGTGCACGGTAACTCTACTACTGAAGAATAGAGGGCCAACGTAGTATGTGTTAATCCTACACTGGGTACAAACCGTGGAGAAGACGGTCAACTGCTATGTGCTCTCAAGAGGATAGTTAAATAAGCTAACAAAGCAATTATTGTTGGCAACTTCAACCTACCACATATAAACTGGAGGTCTGAGATGTGCTTTTGGGAGTCAGCAGAAGAGGACTACCTTAAATGGTTGCACGAAAATGCCCAGTGGCAACATGCTAAGGAAAGCACTAGATTCAGGTCCGGTAATTCTCCGTTGCTACTAGATCTCGTAATCACTACACACAATAATTATATCATGGCGCTACAATTGCACACACCTCTTGGTAAAAGCAATCACGTCACCATATCGATCAAAGTGTGCATGCGACAAGCTAGGGCACCATCCAAGCTGATAAGAAATTTTGGTTGTATGGATCTAAGGAATCTCAGAACTAGGGCATCGGAGCTGGTCAGGGATGCTCCAAAGGGGGCTAGTGTAGAACACTACTGGATATTAATTAAGGAGGCACTGGTGGATCTGCAAAACGAATTTGCTCTGTTGAAACCCAGCCGACGCATCGACAAACCGTTGTGGTGGAGGGCAGCCATAGCCAAGGCCATCAAACAACAAAATAGGTACTGGAAGAGCTTTGGAGTTTCCGGAAACCAACAAGCGTGGATTCGTAGTATAAGGTGCAGAAATGAGGCGGTTAGGGTAATACGATAATCCAAAAAGAAACATGAACTTAGGTTGGTCCAATGCACCAAAATCAAACCGGAGAAATACTATAACTATGTAGTGGCAATAAGTGGGTAGACATCTTGGTGTAAACTAATTTCTCTGTATTTCCTCCCTCTTTCCACAGACAAAGAAGAAGAGCAAAGCCAACACCAGACGGAACCTCGGAGAAGCGAGACACAAAATGCCCTGACAGACTAACACGTTTACGAGTGGTCAATACGTGCCCCACCCCCTGTTGCTTGTATATATATACATGAACTGATGCCCCTTGGTTGTACAATCGCCCCTGGTTCTGGAATATACGTTTTCTCCGCTTCCGCTAGCGTTCTTGCTGTGTGCGTGTGTGAAGGAGGAGTGAGCAGGAGGAACGTTGCTAACGGTGCATCTACTATTATATTTCAGAGTCACCTGCCCACTACAGATTTGGCGACCCTGCCAGGATACGAACAATCATGGAAACCGGTTCTTACGACAGCGGTGAGAAACTGAAAATGGGTGAGGCCGAAGAGGAGTTCCGGGAAGTAGAACCTTAGCAAAACCCAATAGTGGAGAAGAGCTCCAACATCCCGGCCTCTGAAAAATTCGTAATGGGCGACGATTTTGAAGTATAGGAATCTCAAGTGCGGTGGTATATAAAGCGGGTTCCTAATAATATGCGGGTCGACATAATACTGGGGTTTCTGGCCCACGACGCCTACCGAATAATTATGCACCATGAATTACAGAGGATGCCGAACAACTGCTGCACCTCCTGCGAGAAAGATTGGGTAATTTACTACCAAGAGAACGATACCAGGAGCAGTTCTTCCTGCGACATCAGCAGCCGAACGAGAGTCTGGTAGAATTTCTGGCGGATTTACGGCGTATCGCCCGGATGGCCTTCCCGGCGTTGTCACCGGATCAGTTTGACGAACGCCCGCTGGAGATATTTCGAGNCCCCCCCCAAAACAAAATGTAACCGAAGCAGAGTCGTCGGCCCGTCTCCTAGACTACACACTCTGCAAGGCGGGACAGAGCGTAGATATTTTCACCGTCGGAGATAGCAAACGGCAAATCCCCAGAAGCCCGGAAGGCCCCTATACCCAAGCCAAGTTCAATGTTTCCGCTGTCGTCGGTTCGGCGCGGTTTTGCCGCACCAGGATCACGGGTACGTAGAGAGTCTGCATAAATGTGTTTAATTGCTTAACCGATTTTTATGACCTATTGTTTTTGAATGCCAGTGTCTGTGGTAGACTTTGCCGATGTCTAATCGATTCCGGATCTATTTGCTGTTTCATTACAGATAGATTGATGAGGGAGTGGGGACTATCCTGGGACTGTATGTATACGACTCGGTTAGTCGCAGTAAACGGCTCAACAGTAACGGCTGTGGGGCAAAGCCGACTCACCGTAAACGTCGAGGGAGTCAAATTTACGCATAACTTCATTGTCGTGACGAACCTACCGGTTCCGGTCTTTTTGGGACTGGGTTTCCTAAATCGAGCGAAGTGTATACTGGACCTCGGGAAAAGAGAATTGTTCATCCAAGGTCGACCAGTAACACTAAAGAGCCAGAGGCGTAAGCACTGCCTCATGCTGCAACCGCAAGGGCCACGAAATAGTTGGAGAATCTCAGAGCTCCTGTCGAAAGTGTCCACAGGGATACCGGTGGAGGAGAAGGAGAAATTTAGGAGGCTCCTTTAAACACACCAGCAGGTTTTTTGGTGGGATGGAGATCTCCTAGGGAGGACTAACATGGTGCAATACTCAACTGATACCGCGGATGCGCGCCCAATTCGCCAGGCGCCCAGGCGCATTCCAATACATAAACAAACAGAACTCGAAAAGCTCATCGCAAAGATGGTGCAGCAAGGCGTAATTAGACCATCCACGTCACTTTGGACCTTCCCGGTGGTCTTAGTGAAAAAAAAGATGGATCGATGAGGCTGTGTGTCGACTACAGGAGACTAAATGTGGTCACGCGTAAAGACTCTTTTCTCCTTCAACGCATAGGCGACACTATCGATGCGCTATCAGGATCGAGGTAGTTTTCAACCCTTGACCTGGAGTTGGGTTATTAGCAAGTGGAGGTCCGGCCGGAATATCGAGAGAAGACTGCATTTACCGTTCCCACCGGCCTGTATATATTGGAGATCATAACGTTCGGCCTATCCAATGCGCCAGCCACCTTCCAGCGTTTAATGCAAATCATTCTCGCTGACCTCAGCCCCCAAAAGTGTGTGTTTTACTTGGATGACATTATCCTACCGGGCAGATCCATAGAAGAACACATGAAGAAGGCTATTTTTCAACGCTTGACAGCAATAGGGCTGAAGCTCAACCCTCTAAAGTGTACCTTCTTGCAGCCAGAAGTAACATACTTGGGCCATGTAATATCTGCCTACGGGGTACGCAGCGAACCGAGTAAAGTTGAGCAAAGAGCTGGCCTACACTGCAGAATGCCGAAGACGTCCGGGGCTTCTTGGGGCTGGCTCCGTATTACCGCAAGTTCATACGAGAATTTCCACACATGGCCCCCCCCTCACTGAGCTAACGCACAAAGGGAAGGTATGCAACTGGACGGATGATTGCCCCCGAGCGTTTAACCACTTAAAGCAATGCTTGTGCACTGCTCCCATTCTGGCACTACCCGACAAAAGCGTTAATGCGGGCGAATTCATCCTCGATACGGTCGCCAGTGATTCAGCAATCGAGGCAGTTTTATCACAGAGGTCTACGGACGGCCAAGAATTAGTAATAGCGTATGGTAGCCGCACGTTGAAGAAGAAGGAACGCAATTACTGCACTACCCGCAAGAAAATGTTGGCAGTGGTGTACTTCGTCCGACAATACCGCCATCTTTTGTTGGGACGCAAGTTCCTGCTAAGGATCGACCACGCTTCTTTACAGTGGTTGCAAAACTTCCGAAATCCAGAAGGTCAAGTAGCGCGGTGGCAAGAACTACTGCAAGAATACCACTTTGATTGTGTTCACCGTCCAGGCAAAAGACACGGGAATGCAGATGCTCTCCCCCGTATACCACGTTGAGACCACGGGGCGTGCCCAACCTGTACCATCAGCCCTACACTAGCGGTTATTTTACAAGACTCAAACATCGAGGAGTGGCAGAACGCACAGCAAAACGACCCGGATCTGGCGGTTTTGTACAAACACCTCAAAGAAAAGAAAGGACGACCGATTTCAGAAGAAATGGCAGGCCGCAGCTGGGAGGCAAAATGTTTGTGGTCATTATGACAGTACCTACGCTTCGAAGATGGCAAGATAGAGTGAAACATGTTCCTTTACCGACGTATTATTCTGCTGTGTTCCTCACTTTCTATTCCTGTCCTCATGCATCTACCATCGGGCAGCATTTGTATTACAAACCTCCTCTTCGTATTTTCCACACTTTTGCCATACGGCCAATCCTTTCGAGACCAGCTTTACTATTACTTGCAGTTCTAGTGACATGTATTCTTCGCTTCATCCTCCATCCCTTATAAATTCGTCCATGACCTTGTCCGGTTTGTGTTCCTTTCACTCTGTGTTTTCATACTGATCCCCACCATTTTTTTAAAATTTTATTATTGTCTACCTATGTACTTACGCCGTTATTGTACGTATACTCGCTCTGAACATTTGATTATGCATTGGGCATGTCTCACGGGCTTCGTGAAATATACACCTATTATTATTATGTATTTTCAACCTGGGCCAGAATACGCTCGGCGAAACGAAGGTGATCGCCCTTCTGAACGAGTTACACACATCATTGGGTTACACTGGACAAGCAAAGCTGGAACACGCCGCACGGCAGAGATATTGGTGGCCGCACCAGGGGCGCGACGTCCAAAACGTTTGCCGAGCTTGCGATATTTGTGCCCAGTTCAAAGATCCAACACGACGAAACTGCGCCCCCTTGCAGACCATGTTCGCTGGTTTCCCCAACGAAATAGTGGCACTGGATGCCGTCGGTCCGTTACCAAAAACAGCCAAAGGTAATCGATATATCTTGGTGATGGTGGACCACTTCACAAAATGGTGCGAAGCAATCCCTGTCCCTCGTATCGATGCCGTCACTACAGCCAAGACCCTCTTTCACAGCTGGATTGCTCGATGGGGTGCTCCGAAACAAATCCATTCAGATCGGGGGGCAAATTTCGAAGGAGTGCTACTTCGCGAACTCTGCCAGATCCTGGGTGTGACCAAGTCACGCACGTCAGCATATCACCCCAAGGAAATGGTACGGTAGAGCGAGTAAACTGCACCTTCAAAAACTTACCAAAAGCCTTTGTCGATTCGGAACACAACCGATCCTGGGACGACGCCCTATATAAAGCTATATTTTGACCTCATCTCGAGTACTGCGTGCAGGTATGGTCACCTTTCTTCAAAATGGATGCTGCCTGCTTAGAGGGAGTTCATAGGCACGCAACTAGGATGGTTCAAGGTCAAAGAGGGAAGTCGCATGATCAGAGACTCCACAACTTGGGGCTCTTTTCACTGGAGAGGAGAGGACTGCGGGGTGACCTCATCGAAACCTTTGAAATAATGAAGGGTTTATCAGATATAGGTCAGGAGAATCTGTTTCGGGAAGACCTCGATTCGAGAACAATGGGTCATTGTGAGAAACTAAGAAAATCTCGATCCAGGATACTCGGCCAGCATCATCGTCCTTTTAGAGTCCCCTTAGAGTCCTATTGGAGTCCCAAAGCACCCAGATTGGGTGCCTAAAGGGATCTCCCCATGTAGGACTCTAATGGGACTGTAATCGGACTCTGAAGGACCCTAATAGGACTGTAGTGTGACTCTAAGGAACTCCACTGGGACTACTATATCCTATTTTCTACACGGTTTACACCTGTTCCAAACATTCTACGGAAATAATATATACAAATCTTTCTAAATTTCCGGGCAATAGCTGCAATGGTAATAAAAAGGAATTTCCCCGTGAATAAATGCTAACGGTGGACACAAATTCTAAGACGACTGATACCCCTTAGCAAGTAGATCTCTTATGCTACCGTAGTCACAACACGTAAACCGAAAATTTGATTTATGTTGGTAATGCATCAACCGTGATATAAATGTAACTGAAACCCTCCCTGGGTATGACTAAAACACGATTCAATAGTAAAGATATGTACTGATTCCAAAAAATGCAATTATTCGTCCATGTCAAAAGGGGCTGGCTAATCGGTGTCCAATGCCAGGTTTTCGTTAATACTTTCTTGACGGTGACACTTTTCTCTTGATTTCTGTATCCACCGTTGAATTCCATTATGTACTTCGGAGTTAGTTTCCCCTGGGAAATTCTTCGCCATTGCACATTCTAGAAAAATGAAAAAATACGTTTTACTCAAAGAAAAACGCTTACCAACAACTGCACGCGCAACGCTTGTGTGCTCTAGGCACAACCTATTATACTTCTCCCTCCAGTTTATCATTAGTGATATTAAAAGTTGCAGCAATACATTCATTGCATGTCCGATGAACTCCGCAGCACAAGAACCGCCGACATTTGATATGTACTCCTTCTAAAAAGTAAATATTC